ATTTCTCAACATTTTTTTAATTTTTTCTCTGCAGAAGCATATTTTTTGTGTAATTTTCTACTTTTACATAAAGTCTGCGCGCACTTTTATGTAATTCATTTACTTTTATATAGAACTCTGTTTTTATATTTTTGAATGCTACATGTAAGACCTATTTTACCGAGAATTTCTTAATTAATCTTATGATTTCAGAAGAAAAGCACAAAAAAAAAAGCGATTATACAAATATATGTATCTCTTTAAAGAAAGAATAAAAGGAGATATATCCTACTGTAAGATTAAACATAATGTACCTAGAATTAAAATATCAGTTATAAAATTACCTAACAAACTTTGAAGAATATATCTCTCTCATGAAAGGACGTCAATTAAAAGCATGGAAAAAGTTCAACAACAAAAGAACAATGATACTATTCACAAAAATAGAATTTATTGCTCTACTATAGTATTAGACACACTTGAATTTGGAGAAGATATGAAGCAAGAATGCATAAAAGAGATTATGGAGACTTTTAGATCTAGACAATTTAGAATATTATAGCTGTAGATTCTCAAGTATGTTACGACTATCGCTCTGAATCTGGAGTAGATATGAAGCAAGAATGCATAAAAGAGATTATGGAGACTTTTAGATCTAGACAATTTAGAATATTATAGCTGTAGATTCTCAAGTATGTTACGACTATCACTCTGAATCTGGAGTAGATATGAAGCAAGAATGCATAAAAGAGATTATGGAGACTTTTAGATCTAGACAATTTAGAATATTACACTATGGCGGATTAGTTGTTTGACTTTACTAATATTGTTCGCAAAACAAACAAGAAAAAGTAACTTTTTTGCTAATGTTGTTCGAAATGTCAACAACTTTTATTTTATTTTTCTAAAAAGCAAGTCATATCATTCAAAATCATTAATTTTATTGTTTGTGGGGAACAAACTTGTTCGTTTTGTCAACAATAAAAGTTATGAGGCGACAAGTACTGCGACAATAATAGTAGCTTTATGAGCAAAAAAATTACTTATTTTTTTTTTTACAAGTACAATAATACTAATAATGTTTCTTATAAAAAACAAAAAAAAAGTTTGCACAATGCAATACGTTGATGCACTCCTAAGAGTTTGACATGAGACTCATCTAAAAAGAGTATATTGAGTTATGTTGAATATTTAGTAATTGTTTAGGTTTTTTTTAACAAAAAATAGCTTTTTGGTTTTTCTTGCAATTGTCTTTCTGTCTTACAAATATGAACCAAACGACTATTTACAAAATCACTCAAATGCAACAACAAGTTTCCCAACTCGAACAAAAAATCGAATCATAGACTCAAATACTCGAGGGATTGATGCATTTATTAGCACCCTCTTTTGCCCAAAGTGATAGTAATGAGATCAACAGTGAAGTTCTTGAAGCAGCTCAACAAGGTAAAAAAAAACAAGCTATTTCTCTAAGATATGTATAAAGTTTTATTTTTTTTTTGGAAAATGCAGCAAGAGAAGGCGGTATTGCCAACTCTCTTAATCTAAACTTGATGGGCTTTTGAGACATTCCTAGAGTACTTGAGGAAGAAACAAAAGCATTCGGCTCTCATGGAAAACATAGATATGTTACGCCACGGCTGCGTTTGCTTGCCCTGATCAACTTATTCAAGAAAGAAAGAAATATGACTGATCTCTTAATTGATGATAAAGTGAATGAGAATGACTACGGGATCCTCAGAACAATCGCAAAAAATACCCACGATGTAATGGAGTTAGAGTTGCTGAAAGCTTTGAAGAAGAATGACAAAGTAGCTGTGTTGCCTTTATGGTCTGAAGTGCCTTCTGCTCTAATCGCAAAATACACATTTAAGCTTGAAAGCAATGCAGCTACTCATGGCTTTCCTCTTCAAAGATGTCAGCATTCCTGGGCAGCCGGTCTATTGCTCTTCGAAACACACAAGCACAGAAGTAATAGAGCAAGAAATAAGGCTTCTGTTGTTGAAAGAGAGAATAACTCTAGGATCAGGTATAACAAACGCAAAACATGCATTCAATGAAACTTTAAAATGCCTAACAAGAATCAAAACTATACAGTAAAAAACAAGTTAGTGTTGAATCTCTTCAAAGTGAAAAGCCGTCTTTGGAGTACGCAAACCTATATTGTGGTGATGAATTTGAGGATTCTGAAGATGACATCTTTTCGGAATGGAAAACAACTGTCGTCCTTGTTCTCCTTCTCCACCTCTTCCCTCTTCTCAACCTAAGAAAAGGGCAAACGCAATGAAGACAAAAGCCAATCAGCCAAGTCTAAGCGTACAAGAAGAAGTAACAAAAAATAGTCACGACCTTAAATAATAAAACAATTTTTTTTCCATCACCTTCTCTTAAAACGTTTGTATTATAGATAAAGTCCACAGCTCCTGAATTCAACCTACATCCAGAAGCTTAAACTCTCTGAAACCTTATGATTGCATAACATCGACTCATGGGCTTACTCATCTTAAGAATTAGACAGTACTTCCAGCGCTTTTTTAACAATCTGAAGAATTGCTGCGCTCCTCTTTGGTTGGTATGGAAGAACGCACTTTCCGCAGTAAAGTTTTTTTTCTCTAACATAGCCATAGACAAAAATCGATATACTATTGGGCCTTTATATAGATAAAAAAACAAAAGTCGAAACCAGAGTTAGAGTGTAAGTAAACATATAAGAGCTACTTGTTTCTTTTTGTTCCAAGTTTTGACATGAAATGTCACATCGCCTGGTCCTGGTAATGGTGAGTGTTGTTTTGGAAAAGAGTTTTGACATTGCCTTGTTCTAATTTAATTAGTTTGTTTGCTCTATATGTTTAGATGAGATTAGTCTGCTTCCATTTAAAATCAAAGTATGTTTAATCTGTATATGGCTCTATTTTTGTCACTTGAAAGCTAACATAGCGTCTTTTTTTTTCTAGATTTCAAACAAGTTCTTGCTGTCTCTTGGTTTATAATAAGTTTGATATGCTATTACACACCTTCAATATACTCAAAACTAGCTTTTTTTCTTCAAAAAAGAATGCCCTCCTAAAGGAATTGACTATTTATCCGTACAAGACATGCACTTTGTCAGGTAAGTTTATGGATAGCAAGATGGTGGTTTTTTCCTTTTTTTTATTAAAAAACCATATACTACATACAAATTATTTTCTGTGTCTATCGGTGTTGTCTCAATTCCGAATGACAAAGCGAATTGCTCATTTAACACTCTTGCCTCGCTTGTATATTTTTGTTTTTATTAGATTCAAGTAGTGCTTCTTTTCTTTTACTATTTCTCAATAAAAGTATCGTTTTTTCCATTTATAATAAGCGTCTAATTTCTAGTAATCCTAAAAAAATAAGTGACATTACGAACAATGTTGGTAACTAAAGCACCAAAAAACTTGGTTGTTTTGTAGCCAAAGTTGTTCCAGAAGTAAACAAGTTATTGCTGTTTTGTTGCTAATATTGTTCGAAAAGCGAACAATAAATTTAGTTGTTTTGTTACTAAAGTTGTTCGAAAAGCGTACAAATAATTTGGTAACATTTCGAACAACTTTGTACGTTGAAAAATTGATGCCAGCTATTTCTCAAACAACCATTTTGCTGTAAAAATTGGTAATTTTGCGAACAAAAATTGTACGTTTTGCAACTAACTTTTCCGCCATAGTGTTATAGCTGTAGATTCTCAAGTATGTTACGACTATCGCTCTGAATCTGGAGTAGATATGAAGCAAGAATGCATAAAAGAGATTATGGAGACTTTTAGGTCTAGACAATTTAGAATACAGAACCGACTTTTTTACTGCGAATAGGATGAGACTTAGTATATAGATAGAGAGTGCTAGCCTTTTATAGTACAATTTTTACCAAATCATTTTGCGAGTAGTTCCCAAGAAGTTATTGACTCTCAAAGTTAGGGTGCATCTAGGAACTTCAATCTCCGATACATGTAAGCCCTTTATCTTGTACTTGTTCTATCGCAACACAGATGTCACAACCTTTTGGAATATTTTCCCAGTAATATCATTGGCTAGAGAGTAGTTTATTGTCACGTGACCCCTATTATTACACACAAAGGTTAAGAAGATACTTACTGAACAGAATTGTCGATTTGATATTTTACTTAGGTCTGTACTCTTATAGTCAAGTCACGAGACAATAGAACGTTTCTTAGCCAATAGATTCACTGGGAAATATTCTGAAAACAACGTGACGTCACAGAAAGGAACTGTGTATTGATACGGTAAGTATAAGATGTTTATGTATAATAAATGTAATGTTACCTGTATATTGATACAGTAAGTATAAGACGAAGAACTTGTAAGTATCAATAACACAGTATTTATATGTTTTCTAATTATACTAAAATATATAAACTATAACATATGGAAATCCATAATTTACATTATTTAATTAGTTTAAAGTAGTCTATGATATTAGAGACTCAGTCATTTGCATGAACTCTACTACTACTTACTCCGACATCTCTTCATGTATAAATATGCTAGAATAATTTATAGTCAAAAAGAAGAACAATAAAATTGTATAAAACAGTCTCAAAGTATCTACCTTTGTCTCTATATTATCTTATCATATAACTCTCTATTATCAAAACATCACATCATCCTACCCTTTTCATCAGAGAGACTGTTCCACTATACGTCAAAGCAATACCCTGTCCAGACAACCAAGTTTGGACTTCTTTGACATTCTTCAATGCTCCAGTTCGGACTTTCATTCGTAGCAAACAAGCCGTAAGATGACCTACTCTTGATGGTCTACCGGTACCAATGCAAGTTTTTATTTCTGGCAACTCTTTTCTAATACGAGAAACTGTTGATTTGGTAACACCTGTTAGTTTTGAGACCTGACAAATCGATTTGCCAGATAAAAGTGCAGATTTGACATTGTTTCGTTTTGTGGTGATCTGACCACTTTCAATACAGAATATAATAATTAATCTTTCATCATATAAATGAATAATCACTTATAGCACTATACATTATAAATATAAAGTAAGCACTGTATAATGACAGTAAATAACGGTAACTGGGATAATATGGATATTTACAAATAAGGAAACCATAATTGTACCTTTTAGGTAACAAGGAGAATTAAAGGAGAATTTACATAATCAATTCCCAGGCACACACTGTCAAGGTGTTAAGTAATCAATAATCAGTAATCATAATTAGTCAATAAATCAGGTAGTATAAAAGACAACCTGGAAAAGATATATTTTAGAGTACAATCAATTTATTTTTGTAATAAAGAAGTACTGAACAGTCTCACTGTATTTCTTTGTTTTCTTTCTATCTTCTATTATATCTTCATTCACAACCCAAATATCACACGTTTATCGTATGGGAGGCTGTAAGGCATGATAATAAGGAGAAAAGGTATGTATATAGAATGAAGAAAAGAGAATTTTTTTCTGAAAAGCTTGCCGCATTTATATGTAGTCGGGTAGGTTGTGCTAGAATTTGCCGAAGAATGTGGAAAACGCACGATTGAGAATGCTTATTTGCCGAAGAAAATAAGGTATTCAAGTTTTGCAGGAGACTTTTTTGAAAACGCTACGTCATTTTTTACCTAAGTTGCCAAAAATGGTATCCCTTACTAAATAGAGAAATTGAAGTAACCAGCAAAAAAATGCGCTTTTTCTGATACTAACACAAGGTCAATACGACGAAAACATATTAACTTATGCTTACAAATGAGTTTGATGGGACACTTAACGTAGCCACTGTATATGAAGAAGAAGACAGCATCGTTGAGCGTACCACCAGTGCCAATAGCTCGGAAGATGTGGAAGACAGCGACGATGAGCTTACCATCGATGATAACGACTCCGAAGAAGTTGAAGGCAACGACCTTGGAAATATAATAAACATCAGTAATCCTGACAAAGCCTACGAGAGCGACGATTCCAGCATCGCCAGCATCAATAGATTAATGCATGTCCAACAGAGTGACAGCTTCATAAATTTTGTGTAAAGATACTACAATTGTTTGGTTGGTATTCAAATCTCGTTTTATAAGAAACTCACTAATTCTCATAATTTATCTAGGCACAAAAAAGGAAAGTTAAATCTTCACAAGTAGTTGCAAGCTCATTACTTGGTGAGGCTAGTGTCTACTCCGTAGTAGACAGGTTCACTTTGTCACTTTTAGACAAATGGTGTCGCGAAGAACTAATGAATTTTCCTCCGTATGAAATGCCTTCTACCGTATCAAATTTCATCAAGAAGTTTATTGAAGTTAGTTCTTTTGCACCATGTCCTTTTTAACTTTATTAACGCTATTTACCCTTCAAACAGCAAAAGATTTCAAGTAACAAATACCTTGTGACTTTCGTAAAGCAAACAACGTTGGAAGAATAGTCAAAGAATGATGAGGAACTGAAAGAAGTGACTGAAATATATGACTATTTGTAAGTGATTGACTTTTACCACTGTTGTGAACATACAGAACCGACTTTTTTTATACGAATAGGATGAGATTTGGTATACAAATAGACAGTATTAGCTTCTATAGTACAACTTTTACCAGACCTTTTTGCGAGTACTTCACGAAAAGCTATTGGCTGTCAAAGTTGGGGTGTACCTATGAAATTCAATCTCCGATACATTTAAGCCCTTTATCTTGTACTTATTCTATCACAACACAGACGTCACTGCCTTTTAGAGTATTTTCCCAGTAATATCGTTGGCTAGAGAATATTTTATCGACACGTGATTCGTATTACTGCACACAAACCTTGAGAAAATATTCACTGAACAGAATTGTCAGGGTATAATGATAATTCAGTCGATATATTGAAGGTGTTGTTTATTGTTTGCGAGTATGAGTCTTAATGTTGTTGGACCAAATACGGATAAACAGAAAAAAAAGCCTATTTACAGAATGTAAACGGTCATAATTTCATCAATGGATTTTCACTTACAAATCCAGTACAAATAATTCAAAATACAATGGACAACAAAACAAATAGAATATAAGATAAATAATAACTAAGGTACATAATAATGTTAATAAATGTTCTTAAAAGCATCCTTCTTCAGATAACTACCAAGTATGTTCTTTCCCAGAGCAACCGGTTACTAAGACAGGAGCCTTACCAAGGACAGACTCCAATTAACAGTATTGTGTAATAGCTTTCTTCTTGCTTATTTGTTTCTTTCCTTTCTCTTGTATACTTCAATTGACAGACAGACAGATCCAATCTTACCAAGATTTTCCAGATTTCTTCTTCAATTAAGTAGTCAGAGAAATAATATCTCTTTTTTGATTATAAGATTGTAAGATGATAATCAGATCTTTTTCTTGATGATTATTCAGATGTCCTCCTTTATTTTAAAAAATGTGATACCATATTTATACTACTTGTTTTTGACTAAAGTATATGATTCGATAAAAAATAAGAGAATTAATTCATAAAATTATCAATTGCATATTTACATTATAGAATAAAAGTTAATTTTAAGTTCTTTTTTTGATTTAAAGTGAATTATTTCTTTGAATTTAATTTTCAATTTGAAATTTAGCAAGCTTCTTACGTCATCAGTTCCTTAGAAGTGTAAGTCTAGCGTAAATTTTTTATATATCTCAAAGTTTAAGAAATAGCAATAATATAAATTGTTTCTCACTGAAAGTGTTCATGAGATGATCAAAATTGTTGTTATTGTTGTTTATTATGAGTTCTGTAATAGAAAAAGAAAAAGATGATTTTATTCATGTTTTTAGGATTTATGTCATGTGCAATTCCTAAACGTCATGCAAAGTATATTCTTTTCTGATCTCCCTTTTATTGATGAGTACCTTTTTGTCTCCCCAAAACCCTGTTCACTTATGGAAATAGTTTATGCTGCGATTACTATAGATGGCATATCCCCAACTTTGGGGAGAAAGCTTGAAAAAGAACTTAATTGGTCAAAAGATACATAAAGAACGTCCCGTAAGATTGTTATTTTTTTTCTTGCTTTTTTTTTCTTTTTTTCTTGCTTACGCATAATATCTCGATTATCATAATAAACGTAACTAGAAAACAAGCAATTTGTATGTTATATGGCGAAAAATATACAGAAGAAAACGTCGCTCGTCTATCTAAGAGACTCGATGAGGCGGACGTCGATATCTGTTTTCTAGACGATCCTGCCGAACCTTTTCTGCTCTGGAAAATGAAGATAAATCAAAATCCTTCAAGGTATCACACTTATGCCAATGAAATTTCCAAACCTTAAGCAGAAACTGAAGAACACTTCAATCGAGCACTGCTCAGCAAGGGATAGCATAATATATAAGCTCTATTGATGTTAACATTCTCTGCAAGCCACTACTGCTCAAGCTGTTGCGTTTCTGAATGAAGTATACCTTTCTTCTGATCCCAGTGACGAAGATATGTATGAGTACAAGCAAATGTCCCAGAAACAAATCTGAAGTATTACGTGGAAGTATTTAAACCTTTTTAACGACAAAACCATCCCTTCGTTTATAAAATGGTGTTTCCATAAAAAAGTGAATTTTTTAAAGTTAGCATCAAAAAGAAGACAGACAAACGATGGAGAAAGAATCAGTTTGAGAAGCTTGTATGCGTTGAAAAAAAAATATATGGGTAAGTCTCATTAAGAGCACCTTGCTCGATTAACGCTGACTGGTGCTAACTGTAAACTCCTAGAGTCTATTGTCAAAAGAATCCAAGGCTCTTTAGCAGCCCATCAAAGACATATTCAAAATCTAAAGGATGAAGGCTATATTGTAATAGGTTATGCTAGAAAGTTTCCAGCTACAAATAGCAATGACGATCGTGTAAATATATTACAAAAGATGTGCCAGTTACTGAAGGATAGATCCTCTGTGGATCATGTTTTTGTCTCAATATGTTGTAAAGCAAGAGATCCATTTAATGAAAGAGAAAAAAAAGATAGCAAATCATTGGTCAATTTGAATGCAGACGGTGAAACTCAAGGTGAATACTTGGCTTGATGTAGTTTTGACAGTACTAGCGTTTCTTAGACATGCTTAATTGTATTATTGGAAACTCAAAAGTCTGTATTGTTCCTCTTGATTATGCTGGTCTAACTACAAACACAACAGATATAAGTGAATTTTTAAGGTACTAGAAGACAAGAAAACATGATTAGTATGTTTACTGAAATTTAATTTAAATAGGCAAAATCAACAAGTTAAGAAGATCATTATAGATAAACTTCCACGTAGCAATGAAGTGATTTAATATGACTCGACACAGCTACTTCGCAACCAAGCAAAATTAGAAGAGTTTGATTGTCGAAGACCATCGCACAAAAGAAGTGTTTAAATACATTTGTAATTAAAGTTCTATCTATTTAATAAAGATACTCCTCATTGTAAAAAGCAGTTCTCAATGCATCAAATTGGGTGTCGGATATGCTGTGAACATATATGAAATCATATGCATAGATCAATAAATGATGATCATGGCAAAAGACCAGATCACATCTAAGGCAATTGCAACGGATCTCTAGTCACCGATATTCATTCATTTTACTAGAAGTACACTATTTTCCGAAACTATTGGCACACTTATCTTCTGTGTCTTCTACATTACCATCATTGTTGCCATTGGTCCTGCATCTGGTAACTTTTCCAGCCATCGAAACTGCAGTCTCCAGTATTCTGTAGCTCTCGATTTGAACACCTCTATCCAGTCTTGCTTCTGCATAGATAGGACCAAGGTCCACCTGCTTTCCTGTTACTCTCTTTCTTGTTGGGTAGATGATTTTGGACTGAGCAACATATTCGTTTATTAAATTGTTTGTCGCCTGTATTTCACTATCAAACTGCCTTATAAACAATTTTGTTTGCTCTTTATTATCATCCACAGATCGCGCGAGTGAGGCGCGACACTTGGTACCTTTCAAATTGTCACTAATAACTGCAAAAAGTAATACACATACAGAACCGAAATTTTTTGTGTGAATAGAATGAGATCTGGTATCCAAATAGAGAATACCAACATCTTATGGTAAGATTTTTACCAAATCAGTTTGCGAGTACTTCACGAAAAGTTATTGGTTGTCAAAGTTGGGGTGTACATAGGTACTTTGATCTTTGGTACATGTAAGCCCTTTATCTTGTACTTACTGTATCACAACATAGACATCACTGCCTTTTAGAATATTTTCCCAGTAATATCATTGGCTAGAGAATATTTTATCGTCACGTGATTCGTATTACTGCACACAAACCTTGAGAAAATATTTACTGAACAGAATAAAGTTTGGACGTTGGCCTAGTGGTATAAATTTGCCGCTCATTAGAAAAGGTCATGGGTTTGACTCCCATTGGTAAACTATTTTTGTCTACACATGCGACACTAATTTTTGCTGGTTTATTCAGCATATATATATATATATATATATAATTTTTATCCAATAGATTCTACAAACAAGAGGCTTTTTCTTTTTTCCTTTTCTTTACGTATAAATAACTTATCAATATTTTGACCGAGAAGAAAAAGTATAAATATTACAGCGTTTTATAGCAATTGAAAAAGATAACATTTCTTTTGGGAAATAAAAGCTTATACAAGTCTAAAACCTCATATTTGAAGGAGTATAATTTGGGGCTTTTGTGTCTCAAGACTTTCATCTTCTCAGGCTCATGCTTGCTATTTTCAATAAGTTTTTCAAAATCGTTCTTGATAAACTTTTCGTTATCGCCTGCCTTTTTGCTTCAACGATCAATAGCTTGACTCCACTTTTTTTTTGTTAATATTCAACAGTCATGTCAGCTTTTTTCATACTTGATTTCTTTAGCTTGTCCTTTTAATAGTAGCTGCGAGCTCTGTTCAATAATTATCAATTTCGGAATTGAATAAAAGCTTGAAAATCAGTTCACTACTTACCCTTCTACTGTAAACATATTTTTACTCAAGCTCTTAAGCGGTATTACTGTATTTATAATCTCAAGCACAAAGTGATTGAAAAATCCATCTTCTTAGGCAAAAATCAGTTTGTCATGGTATACAGCGTATTGGGAGTAAATGGTATAAAAAAACAAACAAAGACTTTCAGTGACATTGCTTTGCTGCAAAAAGATATCAATCTTTTCCTTCTTTCTGATCAACATTGTTGTGAGATGAAGAGAGAGTAGATATTCAATAAGAGAAAAGGTAAGAACACAGAGAAAGTCCGTTAGAACTTGTATAGGTTTTTTATTTCTCCAAGAAATGTTATTCTTCAATTGCTATAAAATGTCGAGGTATTTATACTTTTTCTTCTCGGTCAAAATATTGTTTTGGGGCTAGCTTCTTGACTACGGATTGATTTGTTAGATCAGGAGCAATTAAGAGAAATGCCTTTAGAGGAAGTTGTCAGCTCAGCCAATAGTACATGATCTGACCTGAACTTGAATAAACTATTACATATTTGTCAAATGCCAATGCTAATGTATTTGTCAGCTCTAACTGTCACTTTATGAGGGCCATTAATAATAACAGAGTCACTAGGTTCATAATCTCTGTCTATGAGGATGATGTAGTACTTCTAGTAGAATGAGTGAATGTCAGTGACTATAGATCCATTGCAATTGCCATAGATGTGATCTGGTCTTTTGCCATGATCATCATTTATTGATCTATGCATAGGAATTCATATATGTTCACAACACTGATAATCCTTCCATTTCCTAAAATTTTCTTTTTAGCGTTCTTGTTAATTTGAGCATTGCATTCTCAATGTCAATATCCAAGTCATCACTGGTGACACTAGCATTGGTAGTAGTATTGGTGTTGGTATTAGCATTGGTAGTAGTACTGGTATCCAATCCATCATCAGGTGTACTTGCTGTAGCGTTAAGATCGATAGCAGTATTGCTATTGACATCGGTAATGGTTATAGTAATAGTACTGGTATTGGAACTAGCTATGAATGCCTCTCTTTGATAGCAACAACAACGGCAAAACACGCCTGTAGAGCTGGTGATCCTTGGTTGTACTTGGAACTTAGACTAAAAAACAAGGTTAGAATGTATATGTCATTATTGTTTTGTGATGATATAACACACTTATATGGATGGCAGGCTTATTGTTAATTAAGTTTGGATTTACTGTTATGCATTTAATACGTTTGCATACAGCTTTACTTTCTATACAATAAGTGTAATAAAATGTAGCAGCATCTAACTCGCTTGCAAAGTAAATCAAAGCGAAAGTACTCCAAGTTAGATTTATAGAAAGACTTTATGTTAATTAGCTTTTGTTTTTTACCGATTGGTTTCATGTTTAATAACATGTAGTGGTTTCACTAAAGAGCATTCCAGCAAATATTTCTTCAAGGCCTCGCCATAGACACTTTCCAGGGAATTGTCAGCTAGTTTACATGACACTTCCGGTTTGCACAAGAGCGGCACATAATTAAACTGAATTATTTTGTAAAAAGCTAAGCAAGCGACCATCGTTTTGGGGAGTGAGTAAGTCCACGGAAGAAGACGTCAAAAATAGTCACAAAAAGTGACGATACGGCTTTATGTAAACAGTATACTTCAATTTTTCGGTGAAGAACTTTTATTCAAAAAAGGTTATTCCGTATTATTGACAAACATTTTCTTTTTTCTTTTGGTCATCTTTTGTGGATGGCATTTGGTTTGCTTTCGCGAAAGACATTCTGGATGCGAATTGCTAGTTACCTCCTCGTGGTCACGTCCGGGCAACTACTATTTCTATAGATGTGGACAAAATACTAGCAGTTTGATATGTTTAATGCTGTTTTCTAAATATATTGCTATATATTGTAAAAATATAATAAAAAGTTTTGTTTGTCCAAAATAATCATTTAGTGCTAAAAGTGAATTTTATTTCTCCTAGTTTGTTTGCTATACATTAAACTGGATCGGCAATTGTTATTGTCGACTAATTAAAACGATGAATACTTCAAGTCTAACAATACTCATCAGCCCTCTTGTACAGCGAAAACAATCTGATTATATGAATTACTTTGTTGCTTGGTTTTAAGTACGATTTCTTCATCTAAGCCTTCATCGTTTGACTTTTGCTCTGAACTATGCTTTTTGAGGTAGAGCCTAATACGGTCTAGCGTTTGTAGGTGATGAGGGTCTACTTCTTCTTCCCAGTACATATCATCATGTCCCTCCCCTCCTTCATCAAGAATCATTCCATGCCTATTCTCAAGAAAAAACATGTACTCATTTAAAGCCGCCCTTTGAGATATAGAAAACCACTTTTTGGAAAAATGAAATCCCTTTGAAGATATAAAAAACTGCCCCAACGAGCTACTCTTTTTTATTAGAAAAAACTCGCTCACTGGCATTGCCTTCACTGTATTTTCAGAAGACAAAGTATCTGGACATACAAGGACATTCATTTTTGAGCTAATGCCATTAGTTTTTTGGAAAATGCCATTTATTTTTTGGTTAAGGACATCTAATTTTCTCAAAGTGACAAAATTTACTGTTCTTACTGTATTTATTTGAATATTTGGTAATAATTAATTATACTACATTAGACCATTTCAACTTTGCATTTATTCATATTTTTTCAGAGAACTAATTTTGAAGACGAATATAAAAAGATCGTATTTTTAGTCAGAAATCAAAGGAAAAACTATATTAAGCTATAGAATCATATAAATTAATGAAATATTCTGGCTGATGCATTTTCTATATTATTTATACCTTCTTAAGATATTTAAGTTATTTTTAAACATACAACTTATAATAAAAATTAATGTCTTACGCTGATCCTTTTTATACATTATGTAAAAATCTGTTTTTTTAGATATCACTATGGCGGAAAAGTTAGTTGCAAAACGTACAATTTTTGTTCGCAAAATTACCAATTTTTACAGCAAAATGGTTGTTTGAGAAATAGCTGGCATCAATTTTTCAACGTACAAAGTTGTTCGAAATGTTACCAAATTATTTGTACGCTTTTCGAACAACTTTAGTAACAAAACAACTAAATTTATTGTTCGCTTTTCGAACAATATTAGCAACAAAACAGCAATAACTTGTTTACTTCTGGAACAACTTTGACTACAAAACAACCAAGTTCTTTGGTGCTTTAGTTACCAGCATTATTCGTAATCTCACTTATTTTTTTTAGGATTATTAGAAATTAGGCACTTAATATAAATGGAAAAAAAAACGATACTTTTATTGAGAAATAGTAAAAGAAAAGAAGCACTACTTTAATCTAATAAAAACAAAAGTATACAAGCGAGGCAAGAGTGTTAAATGAGCAATTCGCTTTGTCATTCGGAATTGAGACAACACCGATAGACACAGAAAATAATTTGTATGTAGTATATGGTTTTTTAATAAAAAAAAAAGGAAAAAACCACCATCTTGCTATCCAATAAACTTACCTGACAAAGTGCATGTCTTGTACGGATAAATAGTCAATTCCTTTAGGAGGGCATTCTTTTTGAAGAAAAAAAGCTAGTTTTGAGTATATTGAAGGTGTGTAATAGCATATCAAACTTATATAAACAAGAGACAGCAAGAACTTGTTTGAATCTAGAAAAAAAAGACGCTATGTTAGCTTTCAAGTGACAAAAATAGAGCATATACAGATTAAACATACTTTGATTTTAAATGGAAGCAGACTAATCTCATCTAAACATATAGAACAAACAAACTAATTAATTAGAACAAGGCAATGTCAAAACTCTTTCCAAAACAACACTCACCATTACCAGGACCAGGCGATGTGACATTTCATGTCAAAACTTGGAACAAAAAGAAAACAAGTAGCTCTTATATGTTTACTTACACTCTAACTCTGGTTTTGACTTTTGTTTTTTATCTATATAAAGGCCCAGTAGTATATCGATTTTTGTCTATGGCTATGTTAGAGAAAAAAAAACTTTACTGCGGAAATGCGTTCTTCCATACCAATCAAAGAGAGCGCAGCAATTCTTCAGATTGTTAAAAAAGCGCTGGAAGTACTGTCTAATTCTTAAGATGAGTAAGCCCATGAGTCGATGTTATGCAATCATAAGGTTTCAGAGAGTTTAAGCTTCTGGATGTAGGTTGAATTAGGAGCTGTGGACTTTATCTATAATACAAACGTTTTAAGAGAAGGTGATGGAAAAAAATTGTTTTATTATTTAAGGTCGTGACTATTTTTTGTTACTTCTTCTTGTACGCTTAGACTTGGCTGATTGGCTTTTGTCTTCATTGCGTTTGCCCTTTTCTTAGGTTGAGAAGAGGGAAGAGGTGGAGAAGGAGAACAAGGACGACAGTTGTTTTCCATTCCGAAAAGATGTCTTCTTCAGAATCCTCAAATTCATCACCACAATATAGGTTTGCGTACTCCAAAGAAGGCTCCTCACTTCGAAGAGATTCAACGCTAAGTTGATTTTCACTGTATAGTTTTGATTCTTGTTAGGCATTCTAAGATTTCATTGAATGCATGTTTTGCGTTTATTATACCTGATCCTAAAGTTATTCTCTCTTTCAACAACAGAAGCCTTATTTCTTGCTCTATTACTTCTTTGCTTGTGTGTTTCGAAAAGCAGTAGACGGGCTGCCCAAGAATGTTGACATTTTGAAGAGGAAAGCCATGAGTATCTGCATTGCTTTCAAGCTTGAATGTGTATTTTGCGATTAGAGCAGAAGGCACTTCAGACCATAAAGGCAACACAGCTACTTTGTCATTCTTCTTCAAAACTTTCAGCAGCTCTAACTCCATTTCATCATGGGTATTTTTTGCGATTTTTCTGAGGATCCCGTAGTCATTCTCATTCACTTTATCATCAATTAAAAGATCAGTCATATTTCTTTCTTTCTTGAATAAGTTGATCAGGGCAAGCAAACGCAGCCGTGGCGTAACATATCTATGTTATCCATGAGAGCCGAATGCTTTTGTTGCTTCCTCAGATACTCTAAGGATGCCTCAAAAGCCCATCAAGTTTGGATTAAGAGAGTTGGCAATACCGCCTTCTCTTGCTACATTTTCCAAAAAAAAATAAAAGTTTATACATATTTTACAGAAATAGCTTGTTTTTTTTACCTTGTTGAGCTGCTTCAAGAACTTCACTGTTGATCTCATTACTATCACTTTGGGCAAAAGAGGGTGCTAATAAATGCATCAATCCCTTACGTATTTGAGTCTGTGTTTCGGTTTTTTGTTCGAGTTGGGAAATTTGTTGTTGCATTTGAGTGATTTGTAAATAGTCGTTTGGTTCATATTTGTAAGGCAGAAAGACAATTGCAAGAAAAACCAAAAAGTTATTTTTGCTAAAAAAAAACCTAAACAATTACTAAATATTCAACATAACTCAATATACCCTTTTTAGATAAGCCTCATGTCAAACTCTTAGGAGTGCATCAACGTATTGCATTGTGCAAACTTTTTTTTTTGTTTTTAATAAGAAACGTTATTAGTATTATTGTACTTGTAAAAAAAAAATAAGTAATTTTTTTGCTCATAAAGCTACTATTATTGTCGCAGTACTTGTCGCCTCATAACTTTTATTGTTGACAAAACGAACAAATTTGTTCCCCACAAACAAGAAAATTAATGATTTTGAATGATATGACTTGCTTTTTAGAAAAATAAAATAAAAGTTGTTGACATTTCGAACAACATTAGCAAAAAAGTTACTTTTTCTTGTTTGTTTTGCGAACAATATTAGTAAAGTCAAACAACTAATCCGCCATAGTGTGAGGGGAACCTGAATAACTATGCCTTCGCTAGAGCTATACCCATCGGAGTCAGACTCGGTAATTCCGTCGTTTTCCCCATCACTACTACTATCTGAGTCATAGCGTACCTGAACAGCTTGTGAGTCTCGCACATTGACTGGTACACAGTCACGGAAAAGGCAGGTCATACCGATAACAACCGTGTACTAATGAACAATAGGTTCATGTCTAGAGAGCCAACTCATACCCAGTACAATGGGGTAGGTTGCAGAATCAAGAATAAGTAGGTCAATCATTTCGGAATGGTCGGTTCCTTTGAGTGTCATTTGAACCCTGGCCTTTTTGTTAATGGTCTTGACTGTCAGGTCAGCCATGCGGAATAAGAGAGGTTCACAGCTGTAGATCGGAAGGTTGGCTTCATCTACCAGGGCTTGAGATATGAATGAGCACGAAGCTCCCGAATCCAAAAGGCCTTTGGAATATACCACTTGTTGTTCTGCAGAAACTAAAGCTAATTCCACTGTTAACACCATGATAGTACCCGGAGCACTTTCACTACCTGCAACATATCTTGTATTCTTGTACTCTTGGTAACCAACTAGTGGAATAACCCTTTGCTTCTTTTGGTTAAAAGTGTGATAAGCACACACGACTTGCTCCCAGGATCTGGTTCGTTTACCCGTTAATCCCAGATGGTTGACTTGGTTACCACTATCCAAACTTAGGCTGTTCAAGATTGTGGTGGGCGATTTTGATTGTCCGAAAGTAGGGGAAAGAAATATTGAATTTGAATTTGTTTGCATGTCCAAAACATGCAAGTTGAACATTGGGTATTTTGTGAAGACTTTTCCCGTTATAATAAATCTGTCTACTCTTAATGATTGTCCAATCATTGTTTGGTATAAAAAAGACTGACGATGGATTCTCGTTTGGCACTGGAATTTCACGGGACAAGGCTGAAAATGCATCAATGTCTATAGAGTATTGAGTTCCAGTTTGTGGAAGAAAGGCATTCTGACGAACAGGAAAGTGTTGGTTCTGAAACTGTCCTTTTAGCCCTAACTGAACAGACTGTATGTCTTCATGCTCATCTCCAATCTGATTGTTCAATTCATTAAAGCCTTGAAAGTTAACTGGTTCCTGAACAGGAACTTGCTTTTCTTGTTCGACTGGTTGAGGAATTGGCTCAATCAAGACAGGAGGCTCTTCTGGTGGTGCTGGTGGCAATCCAAGTGGCTTCTCTTGTCTCACATCAGGGATTTTTACAGGAATTATAGGCGCTTCGAAATGCGGTCGTACTCTTGCTCTATCTCTAGGCTGAAAGAGACCTTTAACAAACTCGGGCAAAGGTGAATGAATGCCACCAGTCGCTCTAACTTGGGCTGCTGCTGCTGCTCTTCTTTGTAAGATAGTATTCAAAAGTGATGGTCATGCTGTCTTCGCTCTTAAGCTCGTTGTTGCTCTTGCTCCTGAGGCTCTTGTTCTACTTCTTCCATTTAAGCACGTCTTTCTCTTTCATGCTGTTCTTCAGCAAGCCGCCTTTGTCTTTGTGCAGGTGTCGCTATTGACATTTCCCCTTCAACGATGAAAGTAGGTAC